CACACACACACACACACACACACACACACACACACACACACACACACACACACACACACACACACTTGGAAGTTTCCTGAAGAAGTGTTGAATCAGCAGAAGAGCATCTTCAGCTTTCAAAGGAGCGAAATTGTTTGAACAGGAGGATTTAGTCTCTTCATGAGTTATTGCTTTCTGTTTGCACAAAATTTATTTTTTCCTCAAAATCTCCTGACTCAGCACAACTGTTTTGTTAGCTCACTGTTAACCTCTTTTTACAACAACAAATGTTTCATTATTAAAAACATGAAACTGGTAGATTAATTGTGTCTAAATTCAATTTGGCAATTTTTCTTTTCAGTTTTTAAAGGAGAATTAATTTACAATTCTGGTCACTCAAGCTGTGCTCTCTGCAAAATTCAGCAAATATGAACTGATTTTACTGCCAACATAAAAAAATAGGTGTGAAATGATCACTGGAGAATAAGTTGAATCAGGGGAATACCAAACAGACAAACAAAACTTTAAACATTTAAGAATGTTCTGGGAGCTTTAAACAAATATTTAAATCAGTTTGAATGTTTTATTTATTTATTTTTTCTTGATATCAGGAGTCACTTCAGTAGTTGATGCTTTCACTGTGACTCAGTGACAAAGTGCACACAATATTCTTAAGGGAGTTCCTAATGGTCTCAAAAAATGTCACCATCCTTTTACATTTTCTTGCGTGCGTGAGCTGCAGGTTTCTGAATTTTCTCAAAATTGTCACTGGTGTCCAGACCTTGTCATGAACTCATTTCATGACATTCATTTCATTCTCATTCAGCATGATAGTAGGTGGTAGATTTGTGTCAAACATGGCATCCTTGTTTCCTTTTAAATCTTACAACAGCACCTTCCTCCACATGTTTTTCTGCTTGGCCTTCAGAGGAGTCGGACACTTTTTGAACCTCCCTCTTTTCCCTGCTTTGCTGACGGATCAAGCCTTTCTTCTACCTATCATTCGACAACAAGAGCTATGGATCTGGTCAACTGGTCTCTGAATGCAACTGAAACCATTTTTTCCACTCTGAAATTAGAGCTTGGGAAGTGCAGTTGTCCCAGTAGAATTGTGACTGCGGGGCGARTTTCAGGTAGCTGGGGGTGGAATCTGATCAGCCTGGCASCTCTTTCCRTTGAGGACGTTGAAGATGTTTTTATATTCGGATTTATGATAATTGGATTCCTGCTGATCGGCTGTGGAGGAGTTCTGGCTTATCGGAAAATGAGAACGACACTGACAGCAGTGCGGGCCTGTGAGAAGCTGTCTGTGTCCCTGGACGGAATCTCTCATACGGCGAGCGCACAGACTCAGATGATGGGGGAGTTGAATCGCAAACTGGATGTGGTTCTGGCTAGGACTGCAGCCCAGTGGYGTGAGGAGTAAAGGCAACATCTGGGTGAAGTTCATACGGGAGAGGCGAGATGGTAACGAATCTGGATTGTTGGCATTTTTGCAACACAGAGGCTCAGTTAAGACTTTAAAGCAGTGGAAGAAAAGTCTGCTGTTTGCTCTAAAGAATTATTTCCTTTCATCGGATTCCCACAGATGTGACCTTGTTCACAGGATGATAAACCTCCCTGGATGACATGTGTGGAGGAAGCCTTGAACCCCCCTCCCTCCC